CCTTTTCCTGAAGGGCAGCGGTAATGTGAAGACTTTAACAAATCAAATTCCCTGTTCTGTGACAAATTCTGAAACCTTCTGTTGGGTTCTGAATCAAGACGAGAAGTCAAACTTCCAGGACTTTTTCATGAAACAAAACAAGCCAAAATACTTTGCTTCAGCCAGTTGAAACATCTCCTTCAGTCTGTCATTCTGGCAACTAATAGACATACTCACTATATTAAACTACACACCTGCAAGATACAGTTAAAAATGAAGCACTTGGACATTAGCCAGAACAAATTGATTTCTTTATTTGATAGATTAGGTAAGTTATAAGTTTTGCTGAATCCAAATTTTTACTGAAGGAAGTACCCCAGTGGAAAAATAGGACCAGATTCACAAGGGTTATGTTTGATTTACAATTGATAAGCAATTGAAAATAAAAAAATCCAAGCACAATCACCCCTGACTGTCTTCTTTGCAAGGACTACATTCATTTACCAGCACCAAGAGAAGCACTGGGTCGAATCAGTGAGAGTTTTTCCTTTGTCTTTCACAGGACAAAATTTTCCCTTTAAATTTTCCTCCAAATTTCTCAGTATGTTAAGATATTACTCATCCACTAAGCTTGGAGTTTCTCAGCATCTGAGCATCATTTCTCTGTCATCTGCTGGTCTCACCATTTCATACGTTTCAGACAGACTTTTACTCATGCTGTGCCATCTTTTTACCACACAGCCTCCATCTTAGAGTTCTGTCTTTTAGGTAGCGTCACAAGTATTTAAAGCTAGAGTAAAATTCTAGCAAATCAAAAATATCACATTTTTGTGAGGAGGTGGGACAGGGGAATCAAGGGTATTCCCACTGGTGGTCATTTCTGTGTCCATAGAGCCTTTTATTAGTGTGCATAATGAATAACCAAGCCTTAGCAGAGAGCAACAGCATTCAAACCAACACTTTGAAACCAATAGTCCAGAATAATTTGTTCTGTCTTGACAATATCACACATCTATCCTTTGAGGGAAGGAGGTGGGAGGGGTAGAAAAAGAAAAGAGAAGAAAAATCTGCAGTCTTTTGCAGAAAGAGTATAGAAATTAAAGATTAACTGTATCTTTCTATCTTGCTTTTTGGGTTGTTTGGTTGTTGTGGGTTTTTTGAGCAGTTTTCATCATTCTGTGAGGCAGATCAGCTTAGCTCCACTTCCTTCTTTTCCTTCTATTGTTTCACCAGTTCATTATCCCCCAAAAAATGTGTTGCTACTATTTCTATCATGCAGTCAAAGCTGCTTAAGAGGAAACCTATTTCTACCAACACATCAAGCTGAAAGCTAATACATGTAGAAGTTGTCTGGCTGATTACAACAGCTACAAGCAGAAAAAGATGGCATTTCAGCATTTTAAAATGAAGTCTGACTATCAAACATTCATCTCTGGAGCAGAGACAAAAGTGCTGAAGCAGAGCACCTGGTATGTTTTCCATGCAAAAGATAACTAAATGAAAAGAAGCAGGGACCACTGAACATGGCACTCTAATGTCCACACTAGCCAACTGGAAATTAAGCCCATAAGCGGGTCAGATGACCTCATATCATGCTTTTGCCATACCAAATTTTTGGAACCTCCTGAAAGGAAGATATGTGAGACTGGTTTCAGCAAGTACAGCTGATTGCCAGGCTGCCTGCTCGTGTCTGCCCTGTGTTGCCTTCCTCCAAGACCCACAGGACAGCACAGCTTGTTCCTGTTGCCCATTCCCTACCCAGCACTTCAACCAGGCAGCTCTCACCCCTTCTTCTCTTGCCACCTCTTGGAGATAGAGAGAAGGCAAGTCATTTGTCTGGAGTTACATTGAAAGTGAGGTGCTTTGCAAGGCTTAAATACAGATTGCCAAAGTCACCATGCATGTTCCTGTGAGAATAATTGGGTTTGCCCATTAGTCATTCCAGTCAGGGAACTGCTGAAAAAAACAATGGGAATGTAATCATCTAGAAATGGATTCTGTGAGAAAAAATGTTACATTATTTTTTAATATACTTTGTCAGCTATAAAAAACAAACAAACAAACAAACAAAAAAACAACCAAAACCAAAAAAACTTGGCCTAGTTTCTTCTGTGTTCAATGAAGTTTGATAAGCTGCCTGATTTGACAAAAAAGACTCCAAGACTCTTTTCTGCTTCATCCAGACTAATTTGGCTGTCAATATTCCATGAAAGAAACAAATCTTTAGAACACATTCTTATATCACTTTTCAGGCCTAAGATTTTCACACCACAGAAAAATTGCTAGGATCTCACATTTCCCACCCCCTATGATAGGGAAGATGGTCTCCTTACTGAAAACATACTCACACACATAAAAAGAGATAATTATAAAGCTCCTTTTTACAAATTAAGAATACTGATTTTTCATTACAATGCAGAGCACTGCACATAATGCATAGAGTAATAATTCTATTAAAACACAGATATGCATATGCAAATGGTAAATCATGAATAAGAACACAGGTTACTTGAAATTACAATAATTCATTAGGGTCTAGTTCTTTTACAATTTTTTTGCTCCTAACTTGATAAATACTTTGGATTGGCATTTGTAACCTTACACAGTCTCTTTTCATGACCATTTAAAGGCCAGAACTTTATATAGAAAGGTGTATGCACGTAAAAAAAGAAAGAGGGACAGAGTAGGAAGTTGGGCTCAATCAGTTGCGTTAGCATAATTCATCTCCCCAGGTTAATCAAGTATCCTGAGGTCACCTATTAACTCATCATGTAGAAACAATCAGAAAGTGCTAAAGTTGTCTACAAAGGATTATCTTGAATATTTTCTCAAGCACCAGACTCCACGTCCACTGAAAGGCTGTGAAAATTTCTGAATGTTCAGGATTAGTTTGGTACCGCAAGATGAATGTAGAAGCACTGCATTTCTCAATCTGTTATAAAAAATATTTGACATACATGACTGTATTAACAATAAAGGACATGGAAGTTATGAAAAGGGTTGAATGTCTACAGTGCTTCCATAGGAACTGTACTGCTAGCTACAAGCAGGCAGCTTCTTCAAGCTACTGCCAGCAGTGTGCACTCACAACCCAGGAAGCCAACTGTATCCTGCTCTGTATCAGAAGAAGTGTGACCAGCAGGTCAAAAGAGGTGATCCTGTCCCTCTGCTCTGCTCTCGTGAGACCTCACTTGGAGTATTGTGTACAGTTCTGGTGTCCTCAACAGAAAAAGGCCATGGAGCTGTTGGAGCAAGTCCAGAGGAGGGCCATGAGGATGATAAGGGGGCTGGAGCACCTCCCTTACGAAAACAGGCTGAGAAAATTGGGGCTGTTCAGCCTGGAGAAGAAAAGACTGTGTGGAGACCTCATAGCAGCCTTCCAGTATCTGAAGGGGAACAATAAAGTTGCTGAGGAGGGACTCTTCACTAGGGACCATAGTGATAGGACAAGTGATAATGGGTTCAAACTTAAACAAGGGAAGTTTAGGTTAGATATAAGAACAAATTCTTTACAGTGAGGGTGGTGAGGCACTGGAATGGGTTGCCCAAAGAAGTGGTAAATGCTCCATCCCTGGCAGTGTTCAATGCCAGGCTGAGCAGGGCCCTGGGAAACCTGGTCTAGTGGTAGGTGTCCCTGCCCATGGCAGGGGTTTGGAAATATGTGATTTTAACTATATGATCATAATCCTAACCATTCTATGATTCTAAGAGCAAGTGTCCTGACTTATGCTGGAGTGATAAGAGATTTTTATAGGACCAAACCAAACAGTAGGACCAAACCAGACTTTTTCTGAGAAAATTTGCCATGCAATGAAGGCACCCACCTTATTCATGATTTTATATAAAGAGCAAAGTTAGCAGAAAGATGTCTGGTGTCCAGATCTCTTATCAGTGAAGATAATGATATCGTTCCTCCAAACTTCAGCAGTAGCAGAGGTTGGGGTGTTAATATATAACAATTAAAAGATAAAAGACTACAGATTGAAAGTGAGGCTCAGTTTTACAATAAATGTACCTTCAGCAAGCCAGTAATTTGTGTAGCTGTTCCTTGGCATCTGCATCTTTACAGGAACACAGATAAATTTACTAAATTCATAGGACTGTATCAAAGAAAATACAGCATCATCAATAAAATAGGAACTTTTCCAATCAAGTGTCATTAAAACATCCAGTATATTTAATCTTCATTTCATTTGTATTAATCCAGTTAATTCATGTGTTAATTCACTATTTTCTAATTCATCAAATATTTATTTTAATCTGCTTACAAATTGCCCAGGAAAACAAGTACAACATTATTTTTCAGTATGTTGATTTGTGCCCTTCACTGAAAGTGGAATTTGATTATTTCACCCCATGTAATGAATGTGGCACAGTTTTCCATCAGTTTTGTAACAAGTAAAGTATTTGAAGTTTTCTAGCCTTTTGTTCAAAATACACTCTGAAAATGCATATTATATTACTCACACAATCAATAAATATACGATCAATAAATATGCAATTATCTTAGAAAATTATACATAGAAAACATTACACACAGATGATCGAACACATGCTAAAACTATACTAACAATTCTCCTTAAATCCCAACATTTTTAAATACCAAAATGCTTTACCATACACAGATACAATAAAATCACTTTGGTGTGTAGGCAGATCATGCTTAAATTGGATTTCCACAACACAAACAAATGTTACAGATATATTAGTTGAGGACAATATTGATTATAGCTCTGGCATTGTTCTGCAGAAACCTAAACAACACTCTTCACTGTAAAAGAGTATGAGAAATCAAGTTGTCAAACTACATAGTTAAGTAGCAATCACCACTGGGGCAGAAGTTTCTGGTACAACTCAGTGTTATCACCAAATGTTGCTTAATATAACGTTACATATTGTAAAGAGAATGGCCAGAACTTTCCTTATCCAAAATCAGTACAACACTATCTCCCATCTTCCCATGTTTTAATACCTGCTCAAGTACAGCAAACATGGTGCCAAAACCTGACCATCAGTGGAGTCCTTTTCTTTTGACCTCATTTTCAGGAGGTTCTTGTTTGTCAATAATAAACTGGTGTTAGTTCCAACTACTAGGATTTATGAAATACTCCAGAAACATCTTTCTGTGTGAGTCTAGTTCAAACTGCAGTTGTAATCTGCGTCAGTCCTAGGTCATTGGACTCTTCTCTCTCTTGAGGACAGTAAGATGACATTTCCACGACTAGTCATACAGGTTTGTTTGTCCTATCTGCTTCCCTCATATAAGCCGGGTCTTGCACAGTGTTTCTAACCCTGCTGGTGGTCTGCCTGTCCATCCTCACCTTAAAGGGGAAGCAGAAGTCCTTAAAACATCTCTTGAAGTTTTCATCCAAAAAAGCATAAAGGATTGGATTGAGGCTGCTATTGGTGTAACCCAAAGCAATACAGAAGTAATAGCTGGATATAGCAGCAGTACTGTGGGACACATCCCCTAAGGCTTCAACCAGCACAAATATGTGAATAGGAGTCCAACAGATAATAAAAACTGCCACAACCACAAGAACCAACCTGGTGATGCGACGCAGGTTTCGATCTTTTTCTCGAGACCCTGAGAGGAGCCGTACACTTTTAAGGCGCAGGATCATCAGAGTATAGCAAACAATTATAATGAGAACTGGAATAACAAATGCAAAGACAAAGACACAGATTTTCATGAAGATGTCCCACCACATGTAATCTCTGTCTGGAAACTGCAAGGAGCATTCGGTGCTAGCGGTATCTGGGAATGAAAGAAGCAAAAGAAAATGGCTTCATTATTAGATATTCTAAACAATGTAATCATCGTAGCATAAGCTAGGAAAAGTGATTACCATGTAATGTGCTATTAATAAACAGAGTTATCATTTAATCACTCCAAGGAAAGCTTTCAATTACCATTGAAACTTTTTGTACGCAGTTGTCTCTAGAAATTACAGAGAGATGGGGGCTTTTTAAAATGCATAACATTGTATAAAATTTGTTTCCCATGGGAAGACCTAAAAATGCAGAAGACAAAACCAAAACTTTGTGAAGATGCTTCCATTTGAATCTCACTGACATTTAAAGCCAGAATGAGTACCATTTTGAACAGAATAGAAATCTCATCATTTTTATCAAACTGCGTATGTTCTTGTCTGTGGGTGGAGACAGATTTTTGGTATCATGAATGGTAGAAGCCAAATGAGGTTTTGATCGTAGGAAGATTTTGCCAATATATGATAATTGCGTAATAATCTTTTCCCATGTGCCTTCTTCAGTGCAAGTGGAATACATGTAAGTGTTTGCGTTCAGAAAAACTTATTTCCTGGCAACAGCTTCTTTTCAGTTAAATAAAATATCTCTGTGTGTGGAGTCAAATGGAAGCTGCTCTTTTTGCAGGTCATGTCATTGAAACTTTAGCCTGCACAGGGACTGCAGGATCTGGGCCCCTGACAACAGCCCACTCCCCTTCAGATTGCCCATGCTAGGATTCAGAGGCATAGGCTCTGGCATAGGCAGAGGCATAGACTCAGTTTTAAGTCCCAGAAATATTCCATCTGACAGGAGACTGCTAAGAAATTAAATATTTGAGGTTTCATTTGCTGACCTCATTGGAAACTTCCAGCACATAAGCCATACGGAAAACCAAAAACCAAGATAAATGGCAAGGCGAGAAAAGGGGTAAATTTACAACTACTATTGTCAATTAAACTTTACTGAAGGCAAGTCAAGGTAACACAGGGATTTTTCACTCTGAATTATCCTCTTGAGCACTGCATTGTTCTTTGGATTTTTTCATTTTCCCTACTGACTTTGTCATTCCTCTACAAATGATTATGTATTGGCTTTTATTGAGTCAGATCTAAGGGCGGAATGATTCAGTATACTCTTGCACAACGCTTCTTTTATATCTGTCTCCAGCAGAACTAGTCAGAAAAATTCCATCAAGACGTATTTCCCTGCTATTGAAATGCTTCACATATGAAGATGATATTGCAGAGAACTTGTTTTGAAAAACAGCTAGGGGGGAAGTTATTATTATGGCATCATACAAACATTTCTGTGGTTAGATATCAGAAAGCTGTTACTGGGTGATATGCTAAAACATTCAAATAAAATAGTTGAAATCAAAGCTAAATATTTTGTGGTTTCATTTCAAAAAATGTAACTAATGGATGATTCTGAAAGCTGAAAAGTGAAAAAATATGTTTCAAGCCCAATGGAGGATGCTAAGCTGACAGTACAAGTATGACTTAATGGGGTCTTGACACTTGGTCAACTTTTCTAAATCCTTCATGATCTACGTTTTCATAAGTGTAGTTGTTTTCACTTAATTTTATTCTAGAAATGTCAACAAGCTTCTTCAAAGAAGTTTTCACATTGATTATTGCTGTTATTTGTAGTAGAACATGGCCTAGCAGCAGCAATAATATCAGGATGCAGCTATAATATCTAGGCTAGTAAAGCTGCACCCCAATGTGCCATTCTGTATAAAAGTGAGGTGTGATCAGGTTTGACTGTTCTGGACCACATCCAGTCACTCACTGAAACCCCCTCCCAGACGAAACTGTCTCTTCAGATCTACTGACATAATTTCATATATTTATCAAAATAATTAGGTCATGCTTGCTATCTTTTAATATAATTTGTAGTCAGCAATGGCATTTTAGAATTCCAAATTATCTAATATGAATGTAATGATTGTCTTACATCTCATTACAGTTTACCTTCTATGGAAAGGCTTATTCTAAATGCACTAATATTTATGTGTTTCATTTAATATATGTAATGCTATGAATCATACAGAACTGTCCTGGGTTCAGCTACAGCAGTCATTTTTTCTCCTTCTTAGTAGCTGGTGCAGTGCTGTGGTTTTGACTTTCAGTCTGGGAACAATGCTGATAACACCGATGTTTTTAGTTGTTGCTCAGTAATGTTTACTCTTACCAAGGACTTTCTCAGTCTCATGCTCTGCCAGGGATGAGGGGAAGCCCGGAGGAAGCAGAGACAGGACACCTGACCCAAACTGGCCAACGGGGTATTCCATACCACAGCACGTCATGCCCAGTATAGAAACTGGGGGGAGTTACCCGGAAGGCCCAGATCGCTGCTCGGGTCGGGCTGGGTATCGGTCGGCGGGTGGTGAGCGGTTGTGTCCTCTCCCCTGGTTATTTCCCTTATCATTATTATTGGTAGCAGTAGTGGTTTGTATTATACCTTAGTTACTGGAGAGCTGTTATCTCAACCCGTGGGAGTTACATTCCTCCAATTCTCCTCCCCATCCCTCCGGGAGCTGGGGTAGGAAGGAAGAGGCGGGGAGTGAGCGAGCAGCTGCGTGGTTCCAAGTTGCCGGCTGGACTTGAACCACGACAAGAACACATATTTCTCCAGTTTGCAAATAGTAAAAAATCAACAAAGATCCCTGTCATAATGCACAATAACATAATAATTTTCAGGAAGGTTTGAAGATTTTAAAATGCAATTTATATTATATTCCTGTTGACTGAAAAGATGCGAAACTAAGTACAGTGTCGCAAATTCAGTGAAGATTTCATGCTGACCTTTTCCACTCTGAAAGACAAATATTCCAACTATATTGATACATTTCAGGAAAAATACTGCATCCTAGATGGTATGTTGATGGAAATACATTTTTTAAAGTGTTTAATGAGTTACCACTTAAGATTAATCTTAATCTTGACATAGGAAATATATTTCTGTTAGATACATTATTAATTGAATCACCTTTAGGCATCCATATTCCTGTGTACTCAAATGGAGCCTTCATACTACTACTGGGAAAACTAATAGTACCTCTAGTTTATTTATTTTTTTTAAGTGAACAATTCTTCAGTTAGAAAAGCCCTGTTAAGTCCAGGGAGAGAATATTTACACAGATGTAAAATTTATTCTGCAGGGAAAATTTATCCAGAAGGATATCACTAGGAGGAATCCTGTACTGTGAGTACACAAGGGACTGAGAACTTTAAACGTAATCACTTCCCATCTGATGTATAGTTTTTGATTAAATCTAAATCCAGCAGTCCCTCTAGCATGTAAACAGCAACTATTTTGTCCAACGTAACATAAAGTTTCAGTCCTGAGCTCCAGCTGTCAGACACAGGCAGGATCTTTGCTTTTCCCCTTCAGCATTTATCAGTGCAATTCATGAACACACTAGACAAGATAATAGGCACTAGATGCTCAAGGGAGACCTTAGATCAGACAAGCAGAGCTAGGGGCTGACAAGCATTTGCTAATAATTTCCAACTCTGGCCCAGTTGAGCTGTGGCATTACTAGTCTCTGTTTCCAGAGTTAAAAAAAGGCTGCCTGCCATGTGGTGTGGCAGAGGCATTTAATCTTTGCTGGCCTGAGAGCAGCCCCTTGATCTAAATGTATACAGTGAATGACAGGAATATTCTGCTAGTCAAGCATGCTCCAACAAAACACCGGACCAAGCTAATGTCTCATGGCCAAGATCTAATTCACAGTGAGACAATCATTCTTCCTGAATGAAGATGCCTGGAAGCTAATGTTTCTCAAGTGAGACATTGTTTAATACAGCCTGTCAAGACTTCACTGGGGAGGAGAGTTACAGCACTGCAGACCAGGACACTTTAGCTCCCAAACAGCTGAAAGAAGAATTTCAAGAGGACTCTCCTGTCACCTATCCACCAGAAGGCAAACAGCAAGAGCAAAATCCATACTTCTTCAGCCAAATCAATCAGCCCTTGAGCAGTTGTTACTGAAATGTTTGGTTTGCACTGATCTATGCCAAACAGTTTAATGTGCAGAATTTATTATCACTAACGGACAAAACAGTGTCATTATGTAAAGTTTATCATTTCTTCTTGGAGCAGTGAAACCTTTCTAACAGAAAAGGTTGTTAATTTAGAAAATTATTACTTATTTTCCAGAAGAGTATCTACATCTCAAACAAGACTACCAGCAAATAAATAAGCATGGTATGTATTTTACCAAGCAATTCATTAACAGGATGACCCAACCCAAGTACATCACTAGAGGCCTCAAGATTTTCGAAGGCACTGAGGTGCTCCTGCACTGAAGTCGTGCCTGTAGATATGCAGTATCTATGTGTGTGAGAATGCTTCTCCTCTTTCCTCCTCAAGGAGGCTTTCAAAATAAAATTAACCCCATAGCAAGGCACTTTTGGTAATAAGTCTCTAGTTACAGGGGCTAAATGCACAGTCCTTTATGGATTATAAATTTCAAGCAAAGCCTACAGATGGTCTGCACACAGAGCTCATTGACTTCATGTTCTTGTAGTTGCTCCCCTGCCATGGTCTGTATTCCCAGTTCCTCCACTGATCCGTATTGATTCTTATTCTCAGCTTTTCCAAGTTTCTATCCCCATCCCTTTTTAAACAAAAATTTGAAACACTTAGCTTGATTTTCTGTCTCCAGAAACTGACTTTTCCTTTCTTCACCATGCCATCAAGTTCTGTGAAATGACTCACAAGTCTTATAACTAATGATAGTTCTAATATTAATACTAATAACAAGCAATCTAGTTTCTGCTCTTAAAACTTCATCAGAACTACTCTCACAACACCTACAAAACATACCTTAAGCTGACACTTCATTTTTTATCCTAAATTGGTCTTTGATCTGTCCACTGTGAGCAAATTTGTGTTTATTTTCCCCTGCTGTCTGCTAGTAGGTTTTTATGGTCTAATTCTAGCACAGCCTAGACACACCTCAAAATGTATTTTATTCTTTTAGTTGGCCAGGATATCTGAGCTTAAATGATTTATATGTTACACTGTAATGGTCCACAATATGTTTCAAAATGTCAGAAATTTAGACATACTTTTCAAAAAAGGAATTAATCAAGTTTAGTCAATATTCAGAGCTACATTTTATGTCATTTGAGAAATGAAAAGACTAGATTTTGAGTGTTAACACTCACCTTCCCTGATCTTGGTACCTCCAAGAACTATTGCAGATATACCAACAGATGAGGACAATAGCCAGATGCAGATGTTGATTATCTTAGCCTTGAGAGGTGTACGGAAGTCCAGAGCCTTCACAGGGTGACACACGGCAATGTATCGATCAACACTCATCATGGTCAGTGTGAATATGCTGGTAAACATGTTATAATAGTCAATTGAAATAACTATTTTACACAGCACATCGCCAAAGGGCCAAGAGTTCATCAGGTACTCAGTGCTTTGGAAAGGCATAGTCGTGGTAACTAACGCATCTGCCATAGCCAGATTGAAAATGTAGATGTTGGTTGCTGTCTTCATCTTTGTGTACCTGAAGAACAAAAAGAGTAAGGCTTTACTATTTCAAAATACGATTATGCACATTCAAATATGTAACAGTTTATCAGTCAGGCTTTGGCATAGGAGGTTTTTTTCTGTCATTTGTAATTTATGACGGAAGTGCACACACATCCAAGACTCTTGGAATAATAGTAAACACATTTGGCTCAGTCGTTCAGTACCTGCGTTAGCAGTTAGAACTATTCACCACAGGCAAAACCAGGTATACGAATACATTTAATCATCCAGATGCTGGTTTCAATTCTACCTATCTTCTCAAATCCTTCTACAAGAAATTATCATTGCTACATTTGCAAGTGTTCAATGTATTTTGAGTTTCTTTTTTCTTATAGCTCACTGTTAGTGATTGTAAGGTTTATGGCTTTGTTTCGTGGAAAGAATAGTTATCCTATTTTCTGGTAAGAATCCATGTTAACTGTTATGTCTGCCAGGCCAGAGTGCCTCTTATATGATAGTTTCTCTTCCTTGAATTCCTTACAACAGTGCCAGCATATACAAGTTTTGTTCATTCCCCTTCTTTGCTCCTTCATTTGCAATTTCTCCTCCTTTCTTATCATCAGCTTTTCACAGTCCTCTTTTTTTGTGACTGTTAACGTAAAAGATAAGTATTGTTTAAGTAGAATACCACAGTGGGGGAAAAAATAGTTATAGCAATATTTTTTCTGCATCCTTTCATTTCATCAAAATGAAGCACTTGTTTTGTCCAGCTGATAAAAGCCTCAGCCTACACAAATGAATAGGATCTGGTTTTTTGAGATGGAAACCTGTTTTGTTCTGTCTTGATGGCAGTTCTGGGGGACAGCCTGTGCCCCAAGCGTGGAGGACTGCTTCAGCTCTGCTATGGACACAAGGGATGAAGGAGAACCTGTTAACAGAAAGATATGCTTAACTCTTCTTTCTGCAATGCTTCACCCCAATTAGTTACTTTTACTCATTGCTGTTAATTTATTACCACATCTAACAGCAGATTCTCTTTCAGAAAGCCATTTCAGCCCCATATTTTGTAGGTTTGTGCCCAAACTAAAATGCGGATATACAACACACAGAGAGACACATCTAGCTAGATTTCACTATATGTCATCAATTTACAGTGGAAATATAAGATGTGATTGGTTCAGCTGATGAACATGTAGAGCCTTTAAAATATTGATGTTCAAAATAAAACATAAAAAAATAAAATTGAGCAGTGCTGACAAAATGTGCCCAATATGTAAATAAGCTCTTAATTACAATATGGGCAGAAATGTCATTTGATGACATAACAAATCTCTTCTCACCTATATACTGTGCCCAGGCTCACATCTTTGTTCAAGTGAAGCATTAGAAATCTCTGAGCAAAGACAGCCAAAGGGAGGTGGCAACAAAAGCTGTACATTGATGGTGTGAGGCCCCATGGTCCAGACTCCCTCTGCCCCTCTTTGAGCTTCTCCAACATCTCCAGAGAGCACAAGGAGGCATATGCACATCAGAGCTGGGCTTCTGCACCCTCCCAGATCAACCTCCTCAACAGGCACTCCAGCAGAGGAGGCTGTCTGTCCTGTAGGTCACAACATAGCCTGTCCATCACAAATCTGAGAGTACGTAGCCAGAAGAAACAGATATAAGACTGAACAAAACCTCACTGAACATACAGATTGCAAATCTGTGCTAAAATGGACTAATTTCCATTAAATGTCTGAAAAGGAGTAGTAGGAACATGATTTTACTTCTATGGACACCACTGATGATATTTGTAATTGTTCATATTGAAAAAAAAAACAAACCACCATGAAAAGTAGGAATGGATGCATAAAAAATACTACAAAAATAAGTGAAAGAAATGGAGAAAATTCTTCCTGCAGGTAACTAAAAGAGCTCAGCACATTTATTTTATCAAAAAGAACACCAAGAGGTGGCTTGATTACAGTGTCTGCAGACCTCCAGAGGAAGAAAATAGCAGGTACTGAAGAGCTCTTTCAGACTACAAAGAAAAGCATAACAAGGACAGATGCGTTAAAGTCAAAGCCAGACAAACTCAGAAACAGTGACAGATTTTTCCTAATAGCTAAGGTGATTATTATTGGGAAAAAAATTACACAAGAAAGGAGTGATTTTTCCATCTTTTGATGTCTCCAAATCAATGTCTGCTGCTTTGCAAAGGGTGTGCTTCAGTCAAATACAAGTTGCTAGACTCAATACAGGAACACCTGAATAAAATGTAATGGCCTGTGATAAGCAGAGGTGAAGTAACTAGTAGTTCTTCTGAATCATTACTTCTGTAGATCTTTAAAAACTTCCCCAAGGGTTTGGATAGGGAAAGTTTGCTTTCACATATCAAAGAATTATTTTGACCTTTTTTCCTTAAAGAAAATCAGAAAAATAGTGAAAAACAACTGAGAGGATTTTATTAGCCTTGAAAAGAACAAATATCTGAAAGTCTTTATATCTGGCATTTCCTGTCCCTTGCAAACTTAATCCAATTCTTTTGTGTGTGTGACACCGTGACCACATATACCATGTTTTCTCAGTATTTTTTTCCCTTGTACCCCCAGCCTTCCAGTGACAGAATAGGAGAGATCCTCTGTAAAACAGAGCTAGGATTTTTACGTAACTTTGAAATTCAAACTCTCAAAGCTGCAACATAAAGCATGTTCTCTATTTACATACTACTTAAGTTGTGCATGCAAAGTAAGCAATCATTTTGTGTGCAACACATGCACACATAAGAAAATTAATTTTCCTCACTACTATTGATCCAACAGAAAGGATGTCTTGTCATTCACTGTTAGTAAGAAATATGGAGTCATCCCAGCACCAGAATTTAGACAACTTGCAGTGTGACCAAATCAAAGCTGTATATGGGAGTGAAAATATAACAGGGAAAAGAAAACCCCACAGTGTGCCATACCTCCCATAAAGCTCTGTGAATGAATTGGCTCATTTCAGGGGCACATTTGCACATAACAAATCCCAGCTTTGATCATCTCACCTGGTGTGCATCTAGTTCTTCCCCACAGCTCACCAGCCTGGCAGTCCCAGGACTATCTGGCTTCACTCAAATCCACCCCAGTTCACAGACCATGGATATCTCCTTGCACTACTCACTCTGAGCTAGAGTAGGCACCTGACCCCTTCTCTTTCAGACTTTGAACAAGAAGGAGGGAGACCAATAAATACTGCTCCAATAAGTACTTTAGTACCTTTAGTCAATTATTTCTCCCAAGCACTGCAAAGGGATCATTTGTACCTAACTCAGGGATGAAGGGTGCAGCAATGTTAAGTCCAAGCACGTTTTAATGATGCAACCTTAAAACTCTCACACTAGTAACATAAATATCTTGATTACTTTCACCTGAAAGTATTGGCTTCCACGTAAATGAGATGCTGGCTTCAGAAGTTGTTAGGCAATATAGATTAAATCATACATTCATTTAGAAGTTCATAAAATTCAGAAATGCCTTTGAGAATCCGACTCAATCATCCAAACTCCTTCCAATGTTTTTAATTAAACACCTAAAAATTATTAAATGTCTAAATGCCTCTGAAGATATGTGCTTAATCAAAAGTCCAGTTATTGCTGTCAGACACTTTGAAGTAGACCCTGACAGAGTCTTGACTTGAACATGAGGTGATGGATTTAACTGCTTTTTTACAACTCACTCTATTGCACCAAAATATAGGAGGCAATATTTTAGGTGGTTTGAATTTCATTTAAGGAAAAAAATACTGCCACCATCTGCTTTAATTAGTCTAGTAGAAGAGATAAGGGAAACCTGAATATAGCTACAGCATATATGGCACAGTGGTAATTAATGACAAACATTTTTTAGTGTCTTTGAGATATTGCTTTCAACACCACTAAAATAGTTACAAATCATTGTATAAACTGTTCATAGGAAATCCCATACCTAGAAATGATTTATTAAATACTGGAATTTCATAACAAGGTACTTTTCAGTACCACATAGGAAGGGAAGCTGCCTCTTAAACCAGGTGCTATAACCTAATTTCAGGAGGCAGAAAAGCCTCTGGTGACTTAAGCTGCTTGGTGGAGCTTGTCAAACTATAAGCAGGCCTCAAGCCTCTGTAGACTTTAAGTAACTGGAAGACACATGGAAATTCTGCAGAAAACCACTCAAGATGAAAAATAAAGCTTTTGTTTGGATGCATTTTTTGATGAATATACAATGGGAGTTTTTAAGGAGCAAGTTTTAAATGATGTCTACTTATCTGTCAGAAGTAAAATTTTCAGAACTATCACAATTTAGAGTGGAAAGTTCTTTGAGACTGACTTCAGACTGACCCTTAGAAATCTTCCACCATTTCTCAGTTGACTCATCATTACTGTTCTTTTCCTTCTGGAGTAGAATTTAATTTGCACAATTTTTTAAGACAGTATATAAGAAGAAATCACATCTCCAGCCTAAGCCTCTTAATGAAATTGTGATAAGAGAAGGAAGCACGCTATTAAGGAGCTCGTATGCTTTCAGAAAAAAAAAAAAAAAAAAAAAATTTAAAATTATCTGTGGAAATGTATAATTTGAACAAAATGCATTACTAAATCTGCTAGTAGATTAAAGTTATCATCCCAAATGCAGAAAAGGAGTATGATTTTAAGTACATCATAACTAATAATGTTATTAAAAGCTGAGAAGGAGGCTTTGGTCGACCTTTTTTCTTGTAACTGTAATAGGCTGAAATGTTCCCTGCAGTATGAAATGAGGGATGGAGAAGGGAGCAAGACTAACAAATATACTACAGCAACATTCTGCAGCAGCAGAGTGAAAGTACAGAAGTATGAAATACAATGAAGTATAACAAAAACATATTTTTGGCAGACGCCTGAGCCAGTGAATGAAAATGAAAGCTAAAGCACATCTAAAGACGAATTGCAAAAATATCTATCAGCAGGATGCAGGCTCTGTTCCACTAGGTTCCTCTAAATGAAGTATATGGAGAACAAGCAACTGAAAAGCTTAGTCAGGGAAGCTTTAAATCTCAAGGCTATATTCAGGGCAC